GTTCAAGTCCTAGCTCAGGTGGCTTGAGAATCATGCTGGGTGCATGTGTGCCTGTGCACTCGAAATCCGAACAAGATGGAGAAATGGAGGAGAAAAGATTGTGATGTGACCATATCCCATTGGGGAATGCTTGCTCCCTCTCTATGTCTCTCCCAGGTGAGCACATGCACTCTCTGGCAATTATAAAAGAAGAATCAATACAGGAATCCAGTTCATTGTTGTTGCTTAAGAATGGGCTTTCAGGAAGTGTTGATATGAACCTTTCGAGTAGAAATGTACAAAAGACTATTTAAAATACTGGTCAGCTGGGTAGAGGGTTACTATTATGTTTTGAGAGATATCAAAGCCAAGGAAGAGAATGCTAAATCCCTGGCAGCCTGATAAATTCTGTTGGAATATCCATGGAAATTGCTGGTTGACTAACACTGTAGCAACCTCATCACAGCTTCTTCAGCTCAGCAAACTAACATTTGATGTTAAGCACTGTGGGGACCTGGGACTACAAATGAAGATAAAAAACAACAACAACAACAACAAAAACAAACAAACTATGCTTGCAAAGAGCTCATACTTTGTTTGCCACAGGGGTGGTGCTATCCCTCAGCAGAAGTGCTAGAAAAATGGGAGGTATGTCTATGGTCCTGATGAATATATGCTGCTATATGCCCTGAACATTGAAAAATAATCCCATGTCCCACTCGCATTGTAATAGCCCACTGACGACTGACATAGTAGCATAAGTGAGAAAAAGGTCATCATTTGAGCCTCAAACAGAATTTCATATTACATATACACAGAGTGGGTTTTGCCTGGTTGTTTCATATACTGAATTTTCCAGGTATTAGACAACATAACATTTGATAGAAGAATTGAACTTCCTTTTTTTTAAAACCCTAAGAAGGTGGTTCACAGTTTCAGGAAACTGCAGTACCAAAACCAATGCTGACCATGTTCTGGGGCCACCCACGTGACACGCTGGCCCCCATTTTAAATCCCAGTAGTATGCTCATGGCAATTCTTTATAAAGATGTTAGCAAGTCACTACTTCTTTATGTCTGCTCGTGAAGCTTATTTTATTATAAATTACTTTCCTTTTATTACTCCTTTATAGTACAGTTATGCCAGTATATTGATTTTTAAAAATTATACATGTAGGTAAAATATATGCACACTGAATTTCATTTCAGGAGAGCAAGGAGGTTGTTACAAAGGATTTATTATGGAAGTGCAGAGGAGAAGTCTGATATAATTGAGAACTACTGCCCTACAGGGTAAAACATACAAACACACCAATAATTTTGGCATCTCTGCTCTGCTGTAGCAACATAAGGGGCAGCCAGGCATCATTAGTCAAAACCCTGAATAATGCAAACATAAAATTTTATGTGATTACTTGTTCTCTTCAGTATATTTCCCAGTTCTCTTTTTTTTTCTTTTTCTCCTCTGCAAAAGAGAAACCCAGGCTAAAGGAAATGCTGTTGGTTAATGAGATGCTAAAGAAAATAATGCTTTTCACAGAAAGCTTTCACACGCAGGCAGGGGGCTGAGATTTACAGAGCGCAAAACCCAACAGGCAAGTCCATGGACAGGAGAGCAAGAATATTTGAGTGTGTGTGTAGTTGACAAACACTGCCGCTGCTCTCCTAGAACTAACTGGAAACAACATCTGGCACAGAATGCTTGCTTTCTCAACCAATGGAGTTTGACAACTGTGGTTTTAGCCTAAGAAGTTAAATTAAATACCAGATTGAAACTGGGAACTGTGTTGAAGGTTGCTAGGTGACCGAGGCCAGCAGGGTTGCTATGAACAGGGATCAGGACTGTTTTAGACTGAAAGTATTTCATTCTTCTACAAACTTCAGAGTATTCAGTCTCTTAAAAAAAAAAAAAAAAGGGTAGGCATATGTACAAATTCAGCCACCGCGGAAAGGGGAAGGAAACCAAAATAAACACCTACAATACAACAAAAAAATCAGAAACTCCAATGGATATTATCCTAAAGCAGGACAGATAAATGAAGGCAGTTGTTCTGAGATTAAATAGCTACTCCCCAATATTCCCGACCCCTCACCCCAACTCCTACTGTCATAACATTAATTCATGGCATATATTTGAGAAGTGCAATGAATGATTCTGGCATTGCATGGAAGTTTCAACTCCTAGTTAAAATCGAGGCCTAGGGCAGGATGTTTTCAGTGCATGGGGAACCGTGACAGAAAATGACTGGGTATTATTACTGTCTCACCTTGCAAAGTAGCTTTATACTTAACTACCTCAGTGAGTAATTCCGGGAATGCGTGTGACTATATCGTTTTAATGTGATACTCCCCCACTCCACTGCCTACCTATCACCTGCTCTGTCAAAAACTGTCTAGAGTTCTAATTTGCCACACAATTCTGACTTGTCCCATCTTTTGTATTCAGTGCACCTTGATTTACCTCTAACATTGAACCATCCTACCGTTTCTCCAAGACGATAGAACGTGGCCTCTCCTGTCTCTGAGTAACACTGCCACTTCATTTACATAATTCTCTTGGCTCCATATAATGCTACAATTATCTATAAGTATAATGCTAGAATTTACTTCTAGAATGTTAATACATAGTTACCTTCGATGTATGGCATATCTGATACAAAAGACCAAGTATCTGTAGTGCTTCCAGTTCCTAAAACTGGACCTCAGGGTTTAAAGAAGCCCATTTGCACATATGTGTAAGCTCAACGTGTCCATTTCTGATCACTGAAAATAAAATCAACTTCAGAAACCAAAAAAGGAAAGTAAAATTCTTCTTATTTAAAGTACTTATGACATTCAAGACACAAAATCTTCTCTTATAATACTACTATAGCATCTAAAATTAGTATTATCCATACCCGTCTCTATCTCCCTATATAAAACACATATACAAACATCTGTCTATTTAGTATTAAGTACTACTTATTATTAGAAACATATACCATTTAGTGAGAATCCAGAAATTTATAAAGTCATTGATTATGTTTATCATTAATTAAATCATTGAAAAAATACAGGGAATTAGGAAGAATAAAGGCACCCTCATATTAAGAACAGAGTTATTTTTTACTGGCCCAAACTAGAATGACTAAATCAATGGTGCTGTATCGATACCACAGAACACTATACAGTAACAAAAAAGGACAGGCTGTTGTATATCCAACAGTATAGATGAATCTCACAGCAGAACCCAGAGTAAAAGGAGCCAGAGGCAAAAACATGTATGAAGTCCATTTATATAAAGTTTAAAATTCAAGCAAAACTCTTCTATGGTGTTCAGTTCAGAATATTGATGGGACCAGCAGTTAGCGTAATGGCTATGTCGCTGGACTCCCATGTAGTCGACCGTGGTTCGAGTCCCCGGTGGCTTAAATTCACGCCAGGCACGTGTGCATACATGCCCAAGATCCCGAGAGAGAAAGGAGGAGAAGGGATTGCAGCGTGGCCATTCCCCCTGGGGGGGGGTGATTTCTTGCTTTCTGTCTCTCTCTGTCTTTCTGGCGAGTGCACGCGCCCTATAGCAAAAATCCCTCCAAAAAAAAAAAAAAAGAATATTGATCACTCTGGCCATATATTGATTACTCCAGCCATAGACCTAATAGTGACTGGGAAAAGGCATAAGGAGATTCTGGGGTGCTGATCATTTCTTTCTTGATCTGGATGCTAGCTTACAGTGCTGACTTAGAGGAACTTTACTAGGCACTTATAACTCAATCAGTTTTCTATACTGTAATTAAAGTTTACTTTTTAAAGTTTCTCCTAGTATCAATATTGTTCAAGTTATAAATATAGATATATATAACACACACATATACATAAAATTAATATATTTATGTGTAAACCCCTGTCCATCTACTTTCCTTTAGTGACTTTAGTCTTTATTCATTTATGTCGGTGAATTCCGGAAACTTAGAGGAAAACCACACTGTTTGTGATTGGAGGTTGAAATGCAAACATCTATGTCAACACACCCAAAACACAGATGTGACTTTAGGGATCTTCCTAGCCTTGCATGAATGGATGATTCAGATCTTGATGCAGTCCACACTCTAGTGACATAAACGCAATGAGTCTTTAGTCATAGAAAAACCTACAAACAAATCTTTATTAACTTGATTGATCATCCACAGAAGCTAAAAACAAAACAAAACAGTAAACAGAATAAGCTGTTTATTCTGAGGTTTCTTTTTCTTTCCAAATAGCATTTTTAAAACAACTTTAAGCCATATTTAGTGTTATCTTCAATTATATTAACATCTCTATTAATACTTAATACTATCCCAGCAATATTTCCATAGTCTATTGAAGTCGAGAGTTAGAATAATCCATTTTAATAATAAAATGGATTCATATTTTATTTTATTATTATTTTATTTAATAATAAACTGGATAAAATATTAAATGGCACAGTTAAGTATTCATGTGTGTGTGTATGTATGAGAGAGAACTTGGGTGTCAATTACTCAAAATATTTCATAATATCACATAAGTGAGCCTAATGATACCATGTGTGTCACTGCAGCCAAATTCTATTCTAATTACAATAGTTTTAGAAGACTGATCTCTCCTTTCAACCTACTCTGATACTAAGAAACAACTTCATTGCCAATAATTTCAAAAATGAAGTTAAAGTTGATTCCTAAGGAACTACATGAGGGCGTTTCTAATCTGAGGCGAGAAAGCACGGTAAATACATTGAATACAAATCTTTGAAACAGAGAAGGTCTCGATCTCTCTTTCTCTCGTCCCTCTCTCCCATCCACTCTGCAGGAACTCGCAGCCTAAAGGGACTCCCGAGGGAGGCAGCACGACAGAGCTGGAGGGAGGATTCCAGTTCCAACCTGACTCCAGCTCTCTCCAGGGAGAGAGAGCGAGTTGAGCGTTCTCCCCATGCATCCGCTGGCAGATCCGGAGGCCAGGAGAAGGGCAGCCTCCCCTGGCGCCAGGCACCAGCGCCGGCGTTCCCCTGGGCCAGGGACTTACCACGAGCGCGCAGCACAGCAGCTTGTTCATTGTGGTCCCCGGGAAACCTCAGGCGCTCGGCGGCGGCGGCGGCGGCGGTGGGGCGAGCGTTCCCGTGCGAGTCTGCAGCCCGTGCCCTCATCACGTTATATATAGCGTGGGGCAACAGGAAGTATCGCCTGGCTTTGATCAGTCATTTCTCTAGCCTGGACCAAACTTTGCACCTTTCTTTTTTAGGAACCTTGGGCGGGAGCGCTGGGAGGGGGGGGGGGGGCGGAAAGATCCGCAATTAC